GCTTCCACTTCCCTCTCCACTTTGGAGCACCAGAAGTTGGCCCCCAGGGGCCAATAAAACGGTCTGAGGCTGGCCCAGCTGGGCCTCGTGCCCAACCCGAGAACACAGGGAAGAACACACAGAAGCCGGCAAGACAGACGCATGCTGGCCGCCTCTTTCTTTCTTCCCTTTTCTTCCCTTTCCTTCCTTCCCTTCCCCTTCCTTCCTTCCTTCCTTCCTTCCTTCCTTCCTTCCTTCCTTCCTTCCTTCCTTCCTTCCTTCCTCTTCTCCCCCTTCCTTTCTTTTTATGGGGGAAATAACAGCAACAATGGTCAGAGACAAATCTTCATACAGAGCTTCCTGTAGTGATCTGGGGCTGGGGGGCATTTGCCTTCCACCGCGTCTGCCAGTGGAATATAGAATTTGTGCGAGAGCCAGAGAAGGGCAGAGGGCAGAGAAATCCGCTGAGCTGCGAACACCTCCCCAGCTTGGTGGGGCCCCACCACTGCCGAGAGAGCTGGCCACAGAGGCCCCTTTCTTTTTGCAAATAGTTCCTTTTAAGAAGGAAGCACGTAAAAGCCCGTCACAGGGCGGATTGTGCAGGCTGCACATTAACTCGATATTGACCTGGGCTCTGCTCACACCCGACGCGGTGAGGACACTGTTCAGATAGCGGGTACAAACAGCTGCACCTTCCCGTTCCTGTGGGCCTCCCGCGGCAGACAACGGCGTCACGGAGGCCTTGCGAAGGCTGCTGTGATTTCCACTGCCCAGTGTGGAACCCTAGGTTCAAATTCACGTGCACTTTGCTCTAGAGTCCAGGCGTCGTCAAACTACGGCCCGAGGGCCACATACGGGCCGGGCCGCCTAGCACATTTAGCCAGCTGGGTGTTTTTGCTGCCATTGCCTGTCCTGCTTAGCAGCCGACTCGTCCTGGCCCACAGTGCACACTCTCCAATGGTCTGAGGGACAGTGAACTGGCCCCTTGTTTAAAAAGTTTGAGGACCCCTGCTCTAGACTATATCGCTGAAAGCTTGAAAATAAATTATGACTTAAATTTTTTTCTGTAGCATTTATATTTTAATTAATTAATTAATTCATTCATTCTTTTGTGAACAAGCTCTGGGGTTCTAGATTTAAATGGAAACAACTGGGTTTGAGTTCTAACTTTTCCTTGTGATGTGGGACTAGTTATTGAACCACCTGGCTTCATTTTCTGCAAAATGTAAAATGAAAATTGAGCTATGTGCTTTTAAAAGTGCCTTCATCTCTGTTTTTCCCCAACTCTGTGATCTAAAATATCCCTGCCTCACGGCCCTCTCCTCAGGCTTCTCTGGCCTCACCCCATGCTGGCCCCGCCTTGGGGTAGTCAGCTGGGCTGTCCCTGCCTGGTCCGTGCCCAGCGTGCTGGGCACCCCTTCACTTGGTAACACTGCTGCCCCCTCCTGACTCCATGCTGCGGCTCAGGCCGGCCACCTACGCCGCGCCCCGCCCGCCCCAGGCAGCCTGCAGGGAGGGGCACTGCCAGTAGGCCCCTGTCCTCCTGACTCGCCCCTTCTCCTCTCCTGCCATCCCCAGGCCCCCCTCCAACTCCCAGCCGGAGTTGTTGGTCTACACAGCCCCTCTTGTGAAAGAAGGACACCGTGTGACGGGCAAGGTCACATTGAAATCCCAGTGACAGTGCTGTTTCCTTCTTGGGAGCATCTCCCACTGCTGAGAATTTCCTATGTGCCGGGCTCACATTCATCCCCTCCCAGCAATGTGACAAAGTCCTGATTGCTGTCCTCCGCATCTACTGGGACCCCACTGGGGCCCTGAGCAGCTCTCCCAGCGTCCATGTGAATCACCCTGCCGTGACTGGAATGTGCTTTAAGAAGATGAAGCTGGGGACAGATGTTTCCAAAGGAGGAGCTGGAGCCAATGGTCCCTTGGCCCCAGGACTGGGGAGCCCTGATGTTATCACAGAGGCTGGCAGAGGTGCTTTCCCTGGCCCTTTCCTGCCAGTGTCATTTGGCCCAGTCCTGGAGACAAGGCTCCCTGCAGCGCGGGGGCCAGGCTGGCTGCACAGCTGTCCCCATGTAACCTGGGCAGCCTCCCTGGGCTTCGGCACTGGTCCCCGCGTTGTCCTCCCGCTCCTGTCTCGCCAGGGCGGGTCCTCACACCGCCGCACGTGGTCTGTGGTGGGGCGGGAGGAGCGTGTCTCCAGCTCTGCTAAGGCCCATTATGTCAATATTGCAATTTCCTTCAGGAAAATGAAGAGGAAAATCATCCAGGTGCCAAGCATTTATTGACTTCCAAGAATGAGACCTAAATATTCACTGCCGAGTCTAAACATGTGTGAATCCGAAGGGCAGCCTGCCAAAACCAAGAGCAGAGCCAACTCGACCGCGCAGGTCAGTCGGGGGGATCCAAGGCGTCTCTCCGCTTGCGTTTTACATCTGGGCAGAGGCGGCCCCTGCCCTTGGGACAGCTCTGCCGTCTCCATGGGAAAGCACCCGCTCGGGAAGGGGGACCGAACTATGTGCTGGCTGTGCCGTGAGGGCACGACTGGTTTCATCCCTGCTGCCCTTGCCAGATGGGGACATACATTGGTTTAAGACAGAGACATGCAAAGTTTGCTTCTGTGCATCTTCAAAAGTTCAATCTGCATGAAAAATAACCATTTGCTTCATTTTGTGCCAATTTTTAATGATGAGTGAGAATTTGGATTGAAAGCTCAAGCCTGAGCAATAAATTTTGGCAGAAGCAACAAGTAACTTAAAGAATGTTGGAAACTTCTGTCAGTAGCTTTTATGTTATTTGACCATTTGCGTTAACTGCTGAGGCATAGGTAGTCTCTCCTGGGCTCCCACTTCCTGAAGTGAAAGATGAGATTAAAGATGTGTGCTCAAGGCGTTTGAAATGAGGTCTCATTGGAATGGGGGAAGGGAATGGGAAGACAGGACAGAGAAAGACACAGTGTCATCTGATCTCTGGCATCTGGGTATCTTGGTAGGAACTGAAATGCACCCTGGGCATTTAGGTTCCAATTTTAGCTGCCTTCATGCTGATTTTAGATGTTTCATGCTTGTTAACATCACAAGGAGCTATTGCCCTAAATGACACTAACCACATGCAAGAGAAGTGTGATCAGATATGCCCAGGCCACAGACAGTTCCACAAACTTCCATTCACTCCTTTTGGGAGGCAATTTGAGAGGCACATTTAATGAAGAAAAGCCCTTCTCTGGTATTCGGGCTTTCGTTCGGTGGAACGGAAGTGCTTTTGTCTCACTTACTTTTCTGCAGTTACCTTCTCCCGGTCCTCTTGTGGTCACCTCCTCCCAGCCATGTGCAGAGACATTGAGCACGGATCTGCAAGGCACTGCTTGGGAATTGACTGAGGGATAGAGACAAAGTAGAGGGAGCCAGTGTCCCCAGGAGGCGTGAGCCCTGAGTCCCCATGTGGAGACATTCAGGAGCATGTGTCTGGGCACTTGGGACAAGTGTGAGCATCTGTCAGCCTTGGACAGGAACGGGGAATAGTCCCACGTGTGCCCTGCCAGTGGACATGCAGAAGCACCTCCTGAGCCCACTGTGGCAGTCGCTTTTCCTGCTGTTGGTCATCCACTCAGACACAGGTCGGGCACACAGGGCAGGGGTGGGGACAGGACACTTCAGTAAGGAGGGCTCTGAAGTCAACATGAGCCCCTTCCATCTGGAGTGGGATCCAAAGGGCTCTCCCAAGCCCTGGGCCCCAGGCTCCGGGGACAGACACACGGCCAACGTATAAAGTGCTGGGAAACAGCAGGCAGCTTGAAGTCATTGGACTGAATGAAATCACAGCAGCCTCACAGCTGACACCTGAGCTCTCCACTGGCCGCTGAAGTCCTAAGAAGGCACTGAAGACAGGCCAGAAGAGAGTGTTAGAAAACCTAACAGGAATAAGAAAATGTTTTGAAGAGGAGGAGGTTCTTGAAAAGGTGTCTGGACAAGTATTGCCGGATGATGGGTAATCCAGTTGGCTCTGTGTCCTTCGGATGCAGGTCGAGAGCAGAGCAGATCTGCCTGTGGTCAGTACTACCCTTAGGCTGCAGCATTTGGGAGGATTGCTTGCTATACACTAGTGTTCCTGAACCCTTTTTGACTGTGACTTACCCCAAGAAATACATTTCACATCCTATCCTAGAATCACACTCAGACATACTCACAAACACACACGTCTACAAATGTACACTCACATTTATAGATACATAGCACCTCAATAAAAATTTCACATAACAGTACTTGGTCTTTTTACACATTTTGACATGTTCTATTCTATTGTATTCTATTCCTATCCGATCCTTTCATAAACCCATTAAAACACTACTACTTGGCATTTTATCAAATGGATTTTGAATGTTTGAGAGATTGTCCACTAATTTGTGTCCTGGGCTGCAAAGTAAAATGTATTTCTAATTTTGGAATTGTAGTCAAAAAACACTTGGAAACCACTTCTCCTGTCCCACCCTATAGGGCTCGGAGCCCTGACCCTCTTCCAGACAGGGGAGTGCCCCGAGGAAGGCGCCAGCTGGGGAGAAGGAGGGACTCACACCTGCAAGGTTGAAAAAGATGAGCTCATACTCCAGCCACGGGTCCTCACCTTCTCCAGCCAAATACTCCTTGAGAGACACAAGGGTGTCAGCAAACTGTTGCCCTGTCTGGCCTGCCGCCTGTTTTGGTGGACGAGTTGCGTGGAACACGGCCACACCCACTGCTTTACCTGCCGTCGGTGCCTGCTTTTGTGGGACAGTTTTAGGGTGGAAGAGTTGCAGCAGTCCAGATGGCCTGCAAAGCTTGCAGTATTTACTAGCTGGCCCTTTACAGAAAAAATATGCCGCCCGTCAGTGCCTTGGGGTGCGCTTGGAAACCACGCCCTGGAGCCCTTCCCCAGACTCCTCTCGGGCTGCTGCGGCTCCTCTCCTGTCCTGTCCTTGATGGTCAGCTACCCTGGAGTTTTCCATAAGTGGCAATTTTGGGGTCAATGGTGGGCATTGCAGACAGAATCCCCCTCCCCACATCCCACACTCCTGAGAAGTAGCGTGTGCTTCATGTTGGGTTATCCGCAAGCAGAGACAGAGCTTGGGGCACAAGATCAACTCCTGTGGAACGAGAGGGGAGGCAGCAGGACTGGGCGGAAGAAAAAACTGAACTGCAGTGTGGGCCGGAGGAGGCCTCACACACCTGTTGGGAAATGCTGGATGTGTCCTGGGTGCACCATTCCCAGCCCTGCCCGGCTCAGTCACTGATGCCGTTGTGACCTCGGGTGAGGTGGCTCTCTACAGCCGAGGCCGTCTGAGGGCCGTCCTCCTGCTGCAGGGCAGCAAGTCCGTCCTGGGAGGGCAGTCTGGGCTGTTCCTCCCACAGTCCTGCACAGTTTACTTCCGGCCACTTGCTGGACTTCTCCGTGCATCCCGGGAGCAGCTCCTCCATGGTTCTGGTGCACCCCTTTTCCCGCGGGAAGCTTGGGGGGGGAGATGAGAGGGACACATTGCACCCCAATGGCTGCAGCAGTGGTATCAGGGCTGGAAATGCCCACTGGAATGGTGACATAGAGGTGCTCTCAGCCTGAGTCCCTCATCCTCAGCTGCCACTGCTGCAGTCTTGGTATCCTACCTGGTGGCATGACTCTGCCCCTCATTCCTAAGGGGCCAAAGTCCTGGTCACCACACTCTTCTCAAGCTGGGTTTGCTGCACCTGCCCATCTGCAGTCACAGCTGGTAAGGGCCTACAAGGAGGTGCCCGAGTGAGTCACCCAGAGGCCACACATACTTGTCCTGGCCGCCATGTGTCGTGGCAGCCCAGCCTCTTCCTGGTGATGGGGGGCAGGGTGTTGACTCTTCTCCTTGCACACGAGGACCCCAAAGTGCCCAGTGGCTGTCGAGCTTATAATTCATGAGAACCTTGCTCTGGTCCCCTAGTGAAAGTGTGCCTTTCTGGGTACCAAGACCTCCGACCCTGCAGAGCCCAACGGTTTGGGCACGGGGACGAAGGCCCCACTGCATGCCAGCAGCGTCCCCTCAACGGCGATGATTAAAAATGTCTCCAGACATCGCCAAATGTCCCCTGGAGGGCAAAACTGTCCCTGGGTGGAGTGCAGAAGTGGACATTGTCTCTCACGTTGTGTTCTGTCACCTGCATGAGTCCCGCAGTCGGGGAACAAACGAACAGGGACTCGTCCTGGGAGCTGTGTCTCACCTGACGGCCTCGGGGATCTCATCTGGCAGCATTACGACAGCCCGAAGGTAGCTGGGAAGAAAGGTCTGTCGTGAGAATGGAAGCCACAGAGGGCAAAGCGCCGGGGGCCCTGGCCTGCCCTGGGCACCTTGAGGGCACTCGCCCCCACCGCAAAGGGCAGAGGCTCGTGCGCAGCGGGGGCTCCAGCCGCTGCCCCGAGCTCCTTGCCGGTGGCTGGCAGAGAAACAAAGGGCTGTGTCTTCCCCGTGTTTCAAGATGTTGTCTTGACTTGGCCATTGTTACCCATGGAAACTTCTCACAAATGGATTTTGGATGTTCTTTTCTAGACATTGGATGAGACAAGCTCTGAGATTTGGCCGACAATCAGAGGGAAGACTCCATTAATTGCCCCTAAATTACCTGGGACTTTTGGGATGCTGAAGACAGAAAATAAATTCCATAGACACATCCTGAGAAATCATTTCCATCTGAGGTGGTTTGGATCAACCGACTTTCCAAGAAAGGGATGCTGTATCTATTTCTAGCTGAGCGTTCCCGAGAAATGGATGCAGCAATTGCAATAGTTCATAACTTCCTTCAGGTCGTTAGTTTGGGGCATGGTCCCTGCTCCTTTCCAGGCATTTCTGAGACAATGAGAAAACCACAGTTACATTCAGAGTCGGGCTGGAAGGCGCCACGCAAACCCTACCAAGTGACGGGGGCCCGAGTCTACAGACTTAGGGCCAGGCACACAGACCTCTGTGCTGTCTCTCAGCCTCTTTACAGCCTAGATTACAAAGGTCGAGCTTTGGCAGCAGCCAGGAACGCGCTCCACTGTCTCTATGGAACTACAGCTTTCCCCTTTCCACCTTGTCCCCTTTCTGGGAGCCTGGGGCCGGCAGCAGCTGTGGCTGGCGCACGACCCTACACACACCCATGCCCACGTGGGCACATGCTGCTGGGGACTGCAGCCTGTCTTCTGTGTGTGCTTGCTGTCCTTTTTGCTTTCTATTTCATCTTCACTGTGTCCTTTGGAGGCTTCTTGCCCCTCATTCTTCCAACATTGTCCATGGTGCCATCTTGTGCAGGCGTGGTACACGCAGATCGTCCGCTGAGTGGCCTAACGCTTTCACTCCTGTCCTTTGACCTGTTCCTCCTCTAGGGTCTCCTCTAACTTCTGGGCCTTGGTTCTCTCCTGTTCCCGGTCACATCTGCCCTCCGGGAGCTGCTCCGACTTGCCTCCTACTGTGTGTTCCTCCAACCCCCGTGTTTTTCCTCACAGACACACAGCCAGACGACATTTCCCAGCCTCCTCTGCAGTTGGGTGGGCTGCACCACTGAATTCGGCCAGTGCAGGCACCGGCGAGGCCGCCGCTTGCGGGCCTAGACTCTAAGAAGCTTCCCGAATGTGATCCTGCACCCTCTCTCCTTCCCTCTTTTGCTGGCCAGATGCAGAGCACCCAGTAGAGGACTCTAAGAGGCGAAGCCGGAGGTGAGAGGTGGAAGAAGGGGGCTCCCTGATCCCCTGGCCACTCTATGAAAGGGTCCTGGCTGCCTTCTCCTGCCTCCACTGACGCATGTTGGAAAAACAAACTTTTCTTGGGCCAAATCCCCAAGATCTGGTGGTGGTTTGTTACAATGGTTAGGCTACCCTGACTCATGCACTGCCCCCCCCCCCCGCAGTGTCACCTGAGGTCACTGCTCACCTTTTCTCACCTGCAGGCCTGGGCTGGCTTCCCTGGGGCTTCCAGACGGTGAGGGAGCTCCGTCCTCTGGGCCTCCGTGTGCTCGTCTCCTCCGCGGCGTGGGCTGCTCTCCCTCCCGCACTGGCGCTGAGCCCCCCGCTCCCTGTGAACTCGCCAAGACCAGTGTGACCCCAGGGAGGGGACATCTGAACTGTAACAGGCAGCAAGGACACTCCTGTGCAAGGGCGCCTCTCACTGCACGGAAGGTCTGACATCCATGTGGCGGCGTGCTCTGCGTGTGTTTGGGCCCTGTAGAAGTGCGACCGCGTGTGCTTGCACCCGTGTGGCAACATGCTCTGCATGTGTGCCCGGAGGGCTGCCGGGACCCTCACAGACGCCGTCCCTCCTGGCCCCCTTCTCCTTGTCTGTGGAGCTGCTGCCTCGTTACACCTCAGATTCAGGGCAACTCTGAGTCTTCAAAAATATTTCCTTTTGGTCCTTAATTCAATTTGGTTATTTTTTACTAGAACCTGCTGCGTTGTAATCAGGGTGCTAGACACGAGAGAAAGCAGACAAAGAAGACCCAGGCCCTGCCTTGGAGGGACTCACCGCCTAGTGGGAGGGAAGAGACCCTCCAGGAAGCCGCATGCCACGTGGCCTGTGGACAGTCGAGCCCTGGAAATGTACATCGAGTGCTGACACACAGGGGAGCCACCGGGTGTCCCGATGCGGTCTAGGAGCACGTGCCGGTTCTTGCCGAGCTGCTCCTCCTGATCACGGGGCGGCCTGGCGTCTGCCCTTCATCACCGGCTGTTTTTCCTTCTTTCACGCACTCGTCATGTTTACCTTTATACCCAGGCTGAGCTTTCTTAGGCGTAAGTGGGGAATTAATAGATGCTCTAATGAAGCCACACTTCCTCAGCAAGTCCCGGACCTGTCCTCCTGGGCGCTGTAAACCTGCTCACCTGCGGCTCACCTGCGGCTCACCTGCTGCCTGTCCGTTCCCCTGTTCTGTGACACACTCAGCTCCAGGACAGCTGTTGCCTTTGGTGTCTGGGCCTGCTCCGATCAGCACGCGGCATCTGTTTCCCAGGCACAACAGCACTGGCTGCGGTGGCTACACGTGGGATTGGATGGGCAGGCAGAAAAACACAGACATCATGCCAACAGTAATCATGATAGTAATTAATAGTCAGGAGAGTCATCATCTAGCTTCAGTGGCAATGCACTTGAAAGACTATTCTTTTGGTGTATTTTTTTTTTTTAATGGCCTAGACGGGACAGGAAGATTGGGCTTTTGAAGATATCAAAGAAACCCAAAGAGGACTAGTCTGTGATCAATGTTGATTCATTCACTCTAATGATTACTTGGTTTCTAAACTTGGCACCAG